CAGATGAAGTCAACAAAGAAAATTATCTTGTACTTACTCTATTGCAACTCATGGCTTAAGAATAAAAATCAGAGAGTGATCTTGGTTTTTTAAGTATTAACCACTTACTAAAAGAAAGATTTAATAAATGACCAAGTATCTGCTTCAGAAGTTTTTCAAAAGAGCTGGGGAGATTATTCATCTCTTACAGGGGATCAGTACTTAGTTCTCAGCACAATTGTCCCATAACTTCTGCCACACACAAACAGTGCCCTCTCTGGCCACTGCAGGCATCTGCACAAATGTGTTTATGCACAGGCACAGGCACAAGATGTACACACATACACGCAAATAAAAGGAAAATAAATCTTTTTAAAGCTCTCCAAGGAAACATTTATGGAGAGTCTTACAAGTACATGATAACAATGCCTACTTATTTAATGCAGAATTAAATGAAATCATCATTCAATACTTTAGGTCATCCCAAATGGCAACCTCATTTATTAGCTTTGGGGTGCAAATTTCAAAGTTCTCAATTTGTTGTTTTCTTTTCAGTATGGCTTCTAAATTAAGAAAAAAAAACTCCTTTCTAGCGTACCAGTTTATGACTGACTTGCTACCTATTTATCTATCTATCCACCTATCTATTATCTTTCTATCTATCTATCATCTATCTATCTATCTATCTATCTATCTATCTATCTTCAGTCTATCTATCCAGCTGTACTTTTTGGAAGTAGAAGTTGAATTGGGAGGAAGATGAGATATCATGGGAAAGATTTTAATCTCAGTTCCTTAATCAGATAGATAATTATAATCAAACAAATCATTTAAGTTGTTAAAATTCCTTTCTGGGTTAGTATATACCACTTAGGTTCTCATTTGCTTCCAAATCCTGTAACTTTACGAATATCTAGTCGTAAGTAGGTAGTTATTAGAAGACAGGAGTGGCTTTACACATAATGCAGTTTTGTTGGTCATTTTGTTGTCGTTGGCTAGAGCTGAGCCACAATAATTGAACAACTGGGCGTAACAAGGTTGGTTTTCAAGGCCTTCACTCATATCCCGAGTATAAAGTATGATATGGAAAACTCATGGTTGTGGGATAACTAGATCACTGTTTATATCCTGGTACAACTGCATAATGCAGAGGTGCTGGAGATGGACCAGGAAGTTTAGTTTCTCATCAGCCTTGGTCCAGGTTTCAACATCTGAGTTCAGTATGTGTCTACAAAATTCTCATTTCCACAACCTTTCACTTAACATGAAAGTAAATGTCTTACATGTCAATCCCAGTTCCCTCTCTCTCCCCTCCTCCCGCACCCCCACCCCCCCCGAAAATAAAATAAAATAAGCAGGTATGAAAAATAAAAAAACAAATAAAATAAGTGTTTCTACTAAAAAAAGAAAGTGAAAGTCATGGATCTTCAGGCATAATAATGGAAGCAATGAACACATTCAAGTGAATCTCTGTGTCTGGTTTTTGCATTGATTTGTGGTTTATTTTCAGACATACTTAATAACAGTAATTAGGCTTAAATGACATTATAAAATTAATTTGAAAAATATATGGCCTTTGAAAATATCTTTTTTATTAAAGAAACCACATAAAATCTTTGTCCCATAAAACAGAAATAAATCTGGAGAAAAAAAAATCAACTGCTCCTATGTAATGATGACTTCACTTGGAAGTAGTGCTAATGGATTTTACAGATTATGGTCTTACAAATAGCCACTGTTCTTTCTACATGTTAGCTAAGGTGGGGAAGGAACATTATTCAAGTGAGTTACTCATTGCACAGACTCTATTTGGTGTGTGATTTTTTTTTTGTGAACAGCAGGGTGAGTGGCGATTCCAGCAGGTCAATATTAGCTGACAGCCAGGCATATCTTTCCCTTACAAAAGAGTGAAGTGATATTTTATTATTTATTGCATTGTAAAGGTAAAAAGGTGAATTACTGGCAATGTAATGATTCTTGAAAGCAGAGAATGGAGGTTTTAAAAGCGCCTATTGATTCTGTATTATGTGTGCTCTACAGCACTGTGATAGCTCCCTCAAGAACAGCTCTTTAGTCTTCACAGTATCCAGGCGTCAAAGCAAAGAGAGCATTTACCTCCACGGTGAATTCATCTGGACACCTTTATCCCTATTTAAAACTGACAGAATGGGAACACACAGTTAGATTTCGTGATTTACTTAATATCTGGCCTTGTCCACCTACTTGCATTTGACATACGGAGTTATAGGCAAAAGGGAAGAATGGAAAGTGTTTGTTGGGCCTTTGCCATCTCTGTCCATACCTTATAGCTTCCTGTTGCCTGGATACTGAGATGGTAGCCTCTGGGCTCCTTTAAGTCAAGGGGCATGTTGCTTCATCTCTATTACTTCAATGTTGTTACACAAATGAACAAATTATTAATTCTTTGTAAACGTTGTATTCTAATAGATATTTTCATATCAGGAGAATGCTGATGGAGGGAAAATGTTTAACTCACAAGTAAGAGCCAGGGACACACAGAGTTGGCAAGGCGATGAAAGGGCCACTCCTACTTTAAACCACGGCGTGCAAAAGATTCATGCTATTGTATTTTGTTTATACTAACTTGATAAATTGTCCCCCAAGTCAAAATAAGGAAAGTGATAGGGTGATTGCTTAAATATGAATGGGGGGGGCGACAGGAAGCTGCATCAACTGGTAAGCTACAAGAACCTATTGAAAATTTCAAGTATCCACATAAAAAGTTGGACTTACCAGTAAACCTGTAATCCCAGCAGCACTGGGAAACCAGAGATAGTAGACTTCCTGGGGCCTGCTGGCCAGCCAGTGCAGCTGACTTAGCAAGCTCCAGACTTAGTGGGAGATTTTGTTTTGCTAAAATAAGGGGGTGGGGGAGAGTGACTGGGAAAGACATTCAACATGGACCCCTGGTCTCAATATGCATATCTCTTTCTCTCTGTCTCTCTCTCTGTCTCTCTGTCTCTCTGTCTCTCTCTCTCTCTCTCTCACACACACACACACACACACACGATAGATTTTGCATCATCTCACATGACAGTTAACATTTCAAACTCACAGGTCCTTTAATGCCGTGTGGTACCTAGAAAATCCTTTGTAATAGTAGTGGCCGCACTTTGCTTAATTCATTCTGATTTTCCTACCTGGTCTAGAGCATAAGCTGCATCCATTTCTTCCCTAGTCCTAATTCCTGGTGGCTGTGTCTGACTGGCTTATATCATCCTTGTTCTCCAGTGCTGCCTTCATTGGCTCCATCTATTGCCTGGCTCCTGGTCAGTCTCCTGAAGTTGCTCAAGCCCTTAACTCTTAGTCTTCTGTGCCATCAGCTCTCTTCTGCCCCCTTCTGTCACAAGCCTGAGTTGGCACATTTGGCCCAGACAATTAAGTCATTCACACAACATGAATTTATTGAATGTCTACAAATCACCAAGTACTGCTTCAGATGTTTGTTGTTTATTAGTAAATAAACACCCAAATAGTAATGCATGGTCTGATAAGAGCTTCTGAACAGAGATTCATCTCAGGCTGCTCTACTTTAAAGGGAGAAACTTTTAGCTTTTTCCATGAAGTATCTAAAACAACACTTGCATCAAGAGTTGGAGCTCTAAACACATCCACATAAACTTAGACTCAAACCGGCTCTTCTGGTGTGCTTCTGAAGGATTTTGTAAGTTCTATCTGTAACATGTTCCAAAGACTGTAAAAAACATACCGTTGGCCTATAGTTGTGAAAGAATTTGCACAGAGAAGGCAAAATGGTGCAGTGACTATCATTAGCCATCGCATATGCCAGAAAGAGAAGTATGTAGTTCAGCAGAGGTTGTGGGACAGTGCCTGTCAAGAGTCGCATACTCAGTGTGTAGTGAGATAAAATCAGGGAATAAAACTTATTCCCAGTGAAAGGGCAGTCAGAGCAAGATTTCTGGACAATGATATCTCAGATGAGCTAAGTATTTCCTATTGTTATAAAAATTATTGCATACTCATAGGTTAATGGGGAATGTCATTTTGCATATATGTTTCTCTTATTGGTTAATTAATAGAACATTGTTTGGCCAATAAAGGCAGGAAGATAGCCAGGGCAAGGAGACAAGGAGAATTCTTGGAAAGTTAGGCAGAGAAATGCCTGAAAGAGATGCCATGGAGGGATCTGGAGGATAGGACCTCAAGGTGTTCTCTGGTAAGATAAGGCCATGTAGAAATACATGGGAGCAGGTGGGACAAGAAGACTATAGCAACAATAGGTTACTTATAACAACCGAACCTTCTCACAGCTTTGGAAGCTGTGTTCATGCCATGGGGTCAATGGGGAGACCCTTCCAGTTACTGGTGGCTCCCTAAGTTTGGGTTGCATCAGTAAAATATATGCCCCCATCTTCCTCGAGCATTCCCTATCATGGTAGTATGTTCTGGGATAATGTTCTTGTGCACTCTAAAGATTTGTCCCTTATACTGGTTCAATAAAACACTGATTGGCCAGTAGACAGGTAGGAAGTATAGGTGGGGTGACCAGACTAGGAGAATTCTGGGAAGAGGAAAGTCAGAGATGCAGTCAACAGCGAGGCACAGAGGAAGCAAGATGAGAATGCCATACTGAGAAAAGGTATCAAACCACGTGGTTAAACACAGATAAGAATTATGGGTTAATTTAAATTGTAGGAGTTTCTTAGTAATAAGACTTAGCAATAGGCCAAATGGTTTATAATTAATATAAGCCTCTGTGTGTTTATTTGGGACTGAATGGCTGCAGGACCAGGCAGGACAGAAAATCCATCTACAGGAGTGCTTTTTTGATGCTTATATTCTTTGATGTAGGACCACCATGACTATACAGAGTGATCCCATGCCAAAACCATTTTTCATTTTCATCTCCAAATAAGGTCATAATTCAGTTCCTCAGGCTTAAGAAGTAGACACATGTGCTTGGGAGTCACCAGTTGTCCTGGTTTGCTTAGTGACTTCATAGAGGAAAGGGTTAATTTCACTTACAGATCATAGTCCCCCAAGGAGGGAAGCCATGGCAGGAGCTCAAATCATGATTCCAGAGGTGAGAACTGAAGCAGAAACCATGGAGGTAGGCATATAACTGGCTTGCTCTTCCTAGTTTACTCAACTACCTTTTTTAAATAGCCAAGGATACCTACATAAGGAATGACCACTGCAGGATGAAGCTCTCCTGCATCAGTTAGCAATAATGAAATGCTTCACAGACTTGGACATAAGCCAACCTGATGTAGGCAATTCCTAAATTGTGATTTCCTCTTCTCAAGTATGTCTAGGTTGTGTCAAGTGAACAGAAATGTAAGCAGTCCATCATACCAGCCAACACTTCATTAGGAGCCAGATTGCTTCCTGTTCCAAATGGAAAGGACATTGACGTTTAATTTTCTATAACTTTAATTATTTTCTCAAGAGTGACTTCCTAGACATTAACCCAGATATGCTTTTTTTCACATTGAGAAGTAAAAGCCTTCCAATTTCCCCAACCCAAAGCTTCCTATCTATTCCCTATTATAGAATGTCCCATTCTATGTTATTTTCTATCAAAACATCAAGAGGCTCACTTTTCCTTTCTTGGTCATACTTGACCACGTTAGTTAGGCATTTCATCACAGCCACAACGGAAGTGACTCCTACTTTCCTCGTGGGTCTGAGACATCCTCTACTCATCCTGTGTCTGCCCTTCTGCTAGAAAAGCACCATAGCAACTGCAAGTCAATTTCTTTTCACAGTGATGCTTGGTTGTCATGGTGGCGGGGTTCACTGTAAAACTATGACCTCATGTTTCAGTGTCTAGTGAGACGACCTTGGAACAACAGTGGATAGACACAGCAGACAAGGGAGAGCTGCTGCAGACATACAGAGTTAGAGCGCTTGGCAAATGAAGGGTTATGTTAGTGTGGAGCAAAGAAGACTCCTCCAGAGGCCAGGTGACTAGGAAGAGGCACTGACTTCGGTGTGAAATGAACACGTGGATCCCAGAGAAGCAGCTGCTCAGCCTAGTGGAAAACCTCATTAACTTGACGGCTGTTGCATTTCTGCTCATTCTTTTGGTGTTTATTTATTAAAATCACAGGACATTACTTTTGTCAAAGGGGCCCTAGCTTCATTCTTTACAACTTACCCCAAATATTCTACATAAAACACCCTCTAAACATTAGGTACCGCCTGTATTTAGTGCCAAGATGTCTTAAACACAAATACATTTTTCCTGCTTCACCTGTCCATGGCTTGTGATTCTCTAGTTTTTTCTTGTTTTAAAAGGATGACATTTTCAAATCTCCTTGGTTGCCTTCATCTTCCCCTTTCTCTAGTTTCTCAAGTCATCCCTCAGAAATGAGCAGTCTGTCTGTCGCTTACATTCCTCTCTATGTCTTCTATCTCTCCATGAGTTCAGAGGAAGAGAAATGGGTTTCATGATTGGTTTTTTTTATATCATAACATCGAGAAAGGCTACCCCCTCAATGACTCCTTGGGAAACACTGACATGACTGTGTTTCTGCAAGCTGGCAAACCTGACATTGATTTACACCGTCATCTGCAGTCACTGTAACTTTCACAGCACCCACTTCTAACAGAGCAGTTTAGCAGATGAGTGACTGACTCAGGCAGCACAGGCACTCATCAGTTAGATGAGTCCTCGATGTTCTATTCTAACTTTTAATAGCCTTTTCAAAAAAGTACCTTGTTATCCTTCACAGACAGCTGTATTTCAATTCAAGTACCAAACCTGCGATTACTTAACATGCACTCATTTCAATAATGCATATTAGGAAAAAGTTTCAAGGTAAGCAAACAATGAGCTGAGTGGAGTCCCAGTCTGAGTGCCTCAGGAAACATCACAAAGTGTATCCCCTTAGCTTTCTTCAGCTTCTGGTACTCAGGAAGAAGCTGGAAGGACTTGACCCAGCACTTTCGTAAGAGTCTGTTTGGCGAAGGGCCAAGCATCCTACGTCTTTCCGAAGTTACATGCTGGAGGAAGCACTCTGCATCTTAGATTAGACACTTAAAATGGAATGAGTAGCAAGTCGTATGTTGACTTCTGACAAGTTTCTGTGACTGTTTGACCCCTTCAAGGGGAGGAGTGATATCAATAGGAACAACTGAAACAGGAAACTTGATTCTTCAAAATGATGATGGTTTAACATTTTTTAAAGTTAATTGAGGTAAGTAGATGATACTGTCACACTATTTTTTAGAACTGAAGAATGTATAATTCTTATTATATTACTAGGCCATTCATACTTGTACTTCTTTTTTATTTTATTATTTAAATTTTAAATAGCTTGCTTCAAATGTCAATCCCAGTTCCCTCTCCCTCCCCTCCTCCCGCACCCTCTATCATCCCCCCAGCCTCCCACCCTATCGCCACTTCCTTCCACATAGGGGATATCTAGAGTCTGTCATGGCAGGGTCCAGGCACTCCCCTAAGAGTCTAGGCTGAGAGAGCATCCCTCTTTGTGTTATGGACACACGAAGTCCATTAGTATGCCAGGGATAAAAAATGATCCACTGCCCAGGGCCCCATGGGACCGGTCCAGACACACTTGTACTTCTTTAAAATAAAGAAGAACTTACGTTATGAGTTTGACTCTGCAAGTTCCATTGAGAGAAAAGATGGAAGAACAGCATAGACATAAAACCATGGGCTCAACAGTGGGTGACGATGGGGATGATAATCTCCTAAGTAATTCTTATTTCTCTGTTGCTGATGTTCTAAATTTATGCTTAGGGAAGTCTTACCAATCTAGAACTTCTGAACAGAAATAATCCGGTCCCCATGTTCCATTGGTTGTAATTCATAGTGCATAAAAGCATTAAAAAACTATATGCTTCCTATATATCCACAGTACCAGAGTTATATTTGTCTGGAAATCTTCATTGAGTAGACACAACCACAAAATCTTTCACCCATCTTGTAATCCTGATTGAATTTAGCTTCCTATTAAATAATAGACATTATAGAAAAGGAAGCACTTAAAAACTATGAGTTAACCTGTACTCTTAAATAGAAGCACTTTCTCTTCTGGGCAAGATGGCTGACAAGAAGCTGCCCGTATGGGAGACAGTGAACAGGAGGATTGGTGGAAGAGACAGAAGGGGAGGGATGGGGAGGAGAGGGGGAAGGATGAAGAGGGGGAGAGAGGAGGAGGGGAAGGGAGAGTGAGGTGGAGGGAGAGGCAGTTTTAAAAATTCACAAACATAGCTCAGGCTACTGACAATTGCAGAGAAAAAGACAGGTGACCCAAGAAGCCAAACATCTCCAGCCAAGTGGGGTGAGTGGGGTAAGGGGCACTCCAGGCAGCCTTGCTGAAAAAGGATTGGTAGTATCACCCTCAGCACAAGTCCACAACCCATAGGAGCCCCCCAGTCAGCTGCATGTTTTGACAAGACAGTGATTCCTTTGTTGGATGAGTTATCAGTGGGCAGGCTTCCTGCTTTTTCCCCTTACTTAATGGAGAGCAGAGGACCAGGGCCACCTTAAAGAAGCAGTTATTTGTCTGAAGTTGACCTAACCCATGGGAGGGTTGGGTGGAGCTAAAAGCAAGTGTCAGGAAGCCTCAGTCCAACATGCCACAGTAACAGGTCAAGAGATGGCTTGAGGCTGTGCAATAAATAAAAACATACAGCAGCCATTTTCCAGAGTTCGACGTTCAGCTACGTAGAAGCAATAAACAGGAGAACCCAGCTATGTCTGCTAGGCCAGTTTCCCTCTCCAAGATGCACTGCTCTTGCTCCCCCAAGATGTGCTGATCTGGCTCCCCCAAGATATGCCAGACTAGCGCCCCCAAGATGTGCTGATGGTCTAGCTGTTTCCTAGTTGGCGTTCTAGTGTAGCTCCCCTCAAATGTGCAGCTCCCTTCAGCTCCATTAGGTTAGTTCCTCAGCTCTGTTAGTTTAGCTTCCCTTCCAGCCAAACTAAAAGTTGACAACAGAAAACTATTAACAGTCAAGCTTGCCTAGGGGACTGGCAGACATAATAGGGTCATGCACCTAACAAACTTAACATAGTGTATAATGGAGAGATGAACTCAGACATGGTCATGGTTAATAAATGGACAAACACGGGAGGCAGTGGGAAACATAAGACTTGGATGACACGTAAAACTGTGTCCTCCTGGCTGCTCAGCCAATGAGGAAAGTAAGGGGGCGACTTGAATTTGGCTTATAAAAACTCTGCATTTAATACGCACGCCTTTCCATTCTGGGTTAATAGCTGAGTATGCAAAATCATGAAGCAAACTGCCTTGTTCTCAGTATTAGGAGCCTCCAGTTCTTCTGTTAGGAAATGAGGCTGCATGTTTCTCCCAGAGACAGTAGTAGGTAGCAGAAAGGTCATATGTTGACAAGCTGAAACGTGCAAGACCTGGGGGGCGTAGCTCAGCCAGTGCAGTATACAGGAAAACACCAAGCCCACCCTTGGTTGCAGGGAGCAGATCTCACCAACTGAGAGTAATACTGGAGATTGACATCCCAGAGCCAAGGTCTGCAGGAAGATCAGCCTTTGGATCCATCTCTCTGTAAGGCCCAACTCCAAAGCTCTGACCACGTACTTACAACCCACAGCTGCTTCGTCTAACCCCCTAAGTTATACCTAACAGCTCTAGAAAGACAGTAGGGCTCTCTGCTTGCACACATCTCAACGCTCTGTTTGCTTCATATCCCCAATACATTTGAGAAACACTCACAACCAGAACTCGAGCCATCCTAGAGGAATAAGCAGGTGAGTCTCAGGAAGGTGACAACACCCTTCAAGCCCACAGATTGCAAAGCTACATGTGACTGCAGAGACCTCTGGTATACAAAGAAGGGAAGATAACGAGGAAAGTCAGCTGTTGGAGACCTTGGAGACTTGGCCAATACAGTCTAAACAAAGTCATAAACCACAGAAAAGACCAATGTCCACAGGCTGAACCATGCCCTTCACCGCTAAATTTCCACTGAAGTTTCTAATTTTTTATCATCACACATAATAACCTGCTCCCACACATATTTTGTTTTTCCACTCTTCTCTTCTACACATCTTTTTTTCTTCTTCATATATCTTACCAGTATTTTTACTTTGTGATCCTTAAACTTATGCTTTGCATTCTTTAAGACATTTTCTTCCCTTTATACAATCATTTTATTGTGTTTATAGGTTCCTTTCATCATTGGCCAGTCTTTTTCCTTTCTTTTTGTTTGTTCTTTCCTTTTTCTCTTTCTACACTTTTCCTTTATAATATACTTTTAATATTTGAACTTCAATCCCTCTTTTAGTCTCCTCTAACCTCCCACTCTTATTTCTCTTCCCCATCAAATCCTCTCCACACATCTCCTTTTTGTAGCTTGCTTCTCTTCTGTGTCCCTTTGTGTGACGTACCTCCTTCCCATTTAGCTATTTAGCACTTCTATTTCTCCCTTTTCTGTGACTTCCTTCCGTTATTTTGTTTATTTACTACCTCCTCATTTACCAGTGGTAACTTGTAGACTATTTACTCTTCCTATTTTCTAGATCATGGTCTTTGGGATGAAATAGTGGGTTTTAGTTGATTTTGGAGTGTAATCCTTTATCTTACACAAGTCAGGGTTGATGCTGATACAGCCCTTTGTTTTATCTTCACTGAGCAGAACTAGGGATTGATCCCTTATGAACAGGCTACCATTAGGGTCTCCAAATGAAACCATAAGCACTATCCAAAATATCAGATGCAAAATTCACAACAGAGAAACACAAGAGCTGTGGGAAAGTAGGGCAACATGACTCTTCAAAGATGGTAATGCCTTAAACACTTTAAGTAGGTGCAGGACTCAAGGATGCCAAATTAAGTCAAATGTCAGATGATGAATTCCCAAATATTTTCTGATAAAAATGATCAATGAACTGAAAAGGGATTCTTATAAGCTCTTTAATTCAACCCTGGGATTAACAGGAAAATCAGCAACATGGAGAAATAAGTTAGAGAACATTACAATATGATGAAAAGTTGATAACAGGGAAGAAAACTGTAGCAAAGAAATTGAGATCTTGATTACAAACAATGAAAACAAATAGAAATGTTGTAAGTAAAAGCATTGATGAACTACATCCAAAGCCAGTAGGAGATGAGACACTAGATGCAATTGAGCAGTAATAAGCCTTCTCACTAATAAAAACCTCAAACCAGATGGATTCACTGTTGAGTTTGACCAAACCTTGATGAGAGAGAGGTGACATCTACATGCCTCAAGAGATTCCACACAATAGAAAAAGAAAGGTTATATAAATTGCTCTAAAAGTCAGTATTATCCCAACAAAAGAACTGGATTTTGACAACCCAAATCAAAAAACAAAATAAGTGCAATCTCCCCAATGAACACATATGCAAAATCTCTATAGAATTTTTGCATATAACATCCATCTAAGGAATCTAGGTTTGAATGGGTGTGTATTTTTTATTCTGTGAAATCAGAGAGGAGTTTACAAGGAGGACGAGGGTAAGAGTTAAGAGGGACGTGGCAAACTGGGAAGATTGCAATACATGTGATGTGAGAGCAGAAGGGAATACTACTGGGGGAGGAAGACCAGCAAGAAGGGAGCAGGAGGGATGGGGAGAGTAGCAGGGGAAAGGGATTACCAAGAAAGAGTAATGGTGCATATGTATTAAAAATATCATAATAAAACCTGTCATGCTGTACACTAACTTGAAAATAAGAATGAACAACAACAAAAAAGAAAAATGAAGAAGTCTTCTAAGTAAATATGAATTATTTGTGTTGATAAATATGCTTATATAAATGTTACCTCTTTTGTTAGGCATATATAAAGTTTTAAATAGAGTTGTAAAAGTAACTGACAAAGATTCAAAGTTAGTCGAATTTTCAGTGGACAGTAATAGCAATCCAAGGTAAATGATCTCCTCCTCACCCTGCTGAGAGAACCTGGGGACTTGGAGGGACCTGCACCTGTGCCAGCCTTACCAGTACAGACGGTGGGCCACCCTGATGCTTTGCAAGGAGCGACGGAGCAGGAGTTCCACCAAGGGACTTTCAAGGGTCCACTCAAACTTGACAGCCTGCAGTGAAAGGTAAGAAATCCTTTGTTTTTCATCAGTTACAATAAAAAGAAACAACAACAAAAAACAAAACCCACAACAAACTACACAGGGACTACAGAGGCTTCAGACAGGGTTATGGAAAAATAACGGGAGCTTTTCAATGAAATATTGATAATATGCTTGACAGTTTGTTCATTGCTGTACAATGGCACAGCAAACATTATACAATTTGTCTTCGCATGGTCTTGTTTCTCCTCCTTATTTATGCTTTTGGAGTATAAGAAAATAAAAAAGTAAGTGGTTGGTAAAGTTCAACCTTGCCCCATGGGAGAATCCTGGCACAAAAATATCATGATTAATGTCTGTGGCCTATAAAATGGTATGGTTAAGCAGTAGACAGTTTTACTCACTTGCAGATCAATTAACTCCCACTCACAACCAAGACCGAATCCCCAACTGATTTGTCACTATTAATCTGCAGATACTGAAGCCTTGCTTAAAAATTCAAAGCTGATGGTGCTGCCATAATCCATTCCTAAACCATTCTGTCCTCTCCATCACGAACAGCTTTTAGAGGCTGATACTCAGTCTAATCAAAGACACAGACAGCAGTGGCAGTTCCCGATGTCCTTTGGGACCTCATTCAGAAATCCACTTGCCCTCTGCAGAGATTCAACCTTCCCCAGCATGCAATTGGGTCTCCTCTAAATATATATCTGAATATATCAAACAGAAATCAAGTTCTCTCCCTAAAGATGTCCATTTCTCCATTTCTGATTTTTCAGTCTATTTGTCACACACACACACACACACACACACACACACACACACACGCACTCGTGTGCGCACACACATAGAGAAACAACATAGATAGATTAGATAGATAGATAGATAGATAGATAGATAGATAGATAGATAATTTAGGACATGTTTTATTCAACAGTAGAGATAAAAAGAAAAAGTAGGGCTGCTTATCCCACATCCACACCTGAAGGAACTCCTCAGTATGCTACACATGTCAAGCATAGGGAAATTTACAGATTCCTAAAGTGTTAAGAGTGAGATGAATCCAGCAAACTTACACGAGTCTCATGCTGGTGGAGTGTGTATAGAAAAACCTTGAGCACCTTGTCAAACTTCAGTCATAGGCTCCTTTCTCGAACATACTATGTTGACTTGAGCATAGGATGTTATGTCGTAAGGGTGAGCATATAATATGGCCACTGAGGCAGGAGCTGGTCCAGAATATACTTCCAGGTCTGTCTAGTTCCTAGAGACTAGAAGTTAGAACTCACAGATTGACTTCCTTGCTTACAAACTTATTGCCTTATTGCACCCAATGGTAGAGTTTTCCTCTCATACTTACCATGTGGTATACAGATGATCTTTTTGGGTATGTGACGTAATTCCCAAAAAGTAATCAACAGGGGAGGACTTTCAGATCTTAGAAAGTTTAAAGGCTAGGGTGGAGCTTGCATTTCTTAAAGTAAACTTCATAATACATGTGATTTTCTCCCTATGTTTTGTTGTTTAGCTACAGTATTACTTAGAACATTTTATCAATTTCATTTTCAATTACAGCACAGATAGAGCTTCTTTCAATTTTTATTTCTATGTTTGCTGTATTAAATTTTGAGTGCACTTCTTATGGATCTGGTTTTATTGGAATATGGCTCTCAGTGGGGTTCTTAGCACCATGCATACTGATTCTGATTGGTATTCAAGTGAGTTCATTCTATAGGTAGCTTTGTAAAATTTCCTGTTTGAGTTAGATATAGCATGCTGCCCATATCTGAGGCATGAAATGAACAATGAGCCCATGAATTGGATTCATCCATTTTCATTTGAGGGTATTCTTTTTCTACAATGATGTCCTAACAACTCAAGGGAAATCATTACTATATGGATTGTGTAACACAGCAACCAAACACATCTATTTTTTAGCTAGCTCTCTCCCTCAGGAGGGTGTCAGATCATACTGTGGTGTTCAAAGTAACACTACAGTTTACTACTAGGAATTTCTCCATCAATCTTGACATTTCCTATCAGTGATCAATAACTGAGCTAACTATCAATTAAGGCAGATTCCAATCTGCCAGGTAAGGAAATATCTGAGTTTGACTATCATCCTGGGTATGGTGATACCTGATATTAAATCCAACACTCGGAGCTGGAAGCAGGAAGATCATGAGAAGTTCAAGTCATCGTTTACCATTTAGTGAGTTTCATGTCATTCTGGGCTTTTGAGACTCTGTCAGTGGCGATAGATCAGTTGGGAAACTGCTTGTCTTGCAGGTATGAACATCTGAGTTTGATTTCCAGAACCCATGTAAATAAGGCAGGCATGGTAGCACACCTTAAAATCCTAGTGTCAGGGAGGTGGAGACAGGCAGGGCCCTGAAATTCACTGGCTATCCATCCTAGGTTAGCTGATGAGCTCAAGGCCAGTGAATGACCCTGTTTCAAAATAAAAATGGTTGCCAATACATGAGAATATAATATCCTGTCTTCTAGTACCCCCTCTCTTTCTCACACACACACACACTGAGAGAGAGAGAGAGAGATTGAGAGAGAGAGAGAGAGAGAGAGAGCACAAAACACTGTACAATTGTCAATTGTCAATTGGGTTGGAGCAAGGCTTCTCTTCTGTAGTGTGATGCCTGTTACCCTGCTTGTGTGTAAACCACATAACTTCAGTCTTAGCCTTCCATCACGTTAACACCGTCAGGGTTGCTCATAGTTCCAGTTACCTTCACAGTGTTTTCTAGAAATTTCCCAGTGCTATGATCGTTGATATTGCTAAGTGGTGCTAATTGGCAGCAGAATTGGGTGTTAAATATTACTTTCTCAAGAGTAATAATCAGCAGTAAAACTCTCCATAGGGAAGACAAGAAACCCCTGAATGATAAGTCCTTTAGAGAATAACTGTTTTCTACAAAATGCTTTCAGTTAATGTTTCATTGATTTGCATACTCATTCATGAGATGATTTTTTCCCCTCACAAACATCCCTTAGTAATACTAATTACTAAGTGAAATTTGTTTGTGAAAATTTCTCTTTTGGGCTTTTATATGACTTCTTGTTAGTACATCAATTTTGCATAGAAATGTCTATACTAATCACATGGACACATGAATGTAATCAAACTCTTCCTTGGCCAAAATTCGCTCTAACATGTCGGTGATGCTGTGGGCTTACACTCGGAGGCTTTAGAGAACGACTATTTAGGATTATGGTATCTCTTGGTTACCCTTGGCTCTTACCTGAACGAGCTGTGGGAGACACTCCAGCAGTTCATCAGTCAAGAGGTTGTCTAATTGTCGAACAGCCACTTCTCGAATGTCTTGGTCTGGAAAGCTGACACACAGTTAATGTAACTATAGAGTTAGAGTTGACTGGAAGTAATGAATTACACACGCACACACACACACACACACACACATGCACACACGCACACGCACACATGCAAACATAAGCACGCACACACACACCATCTGGGATAGATGGTGAATTCCACCCTAAGTACATAATGTCCTGTAATCATCTCCAAACCAATTAACATAATCAGCACTCATTGCTTTTCATATTATGCAGTAAAAAATTTGTACTATCACATGCTCTGTGGGAGAATGCCCAATTGACTAGACATTTGAAGTGGGCTAAGTCCCATCCCTGCCATCAATCCTAGCTATAAAAAATATAGGATATGAGAGATCTAAAAATGTTTCCTGAAGAGGCTGAACATCCTTGCTTCTTATTTAGCCATGTATTTGTTCCAGAAATTATTACCTCCTAGAGATCTGGTCATTTATGTGATTAAACATGATATCAAATATTTTCAAAGTGTTTTTAACCAGATATAAATGAAAACCAGATATCAAGGTACTTTATGATGAATAAACAAACATAACTTAATAAAGGGGAATCTTTTTTTTTTTTTTTTGGTTTTTCGAGACAGGGTTTCTCTGTGGCTTTGGAAGCTGTCCTAGAACTCACTTTGTAGACCAGGCTGGCCTCGAACTCACAGAGATCCGCCTGCCTCTGCCTCCCGAGTGCTGGGATTAAAGGCGTGCACCACCAACGCCCGGCAATAAAGGGGAATCTTAGTGGACTGAGAAGCCTGTAGTAAGATTTCGCATCCCTTAGACAGCTAGCCAATAACAGTTTTTGAATTCAATTTGTGAAGGTTCTTAGCTTCTGAAACCACCTTGCCCCCAAAATAATTTTATTCATAAATGACAGTTTTGGGTTGCCATCATCTTGCACCATCCAAAGTTTATACTCAGTTATCCCAGAGTTGCTGGAAGTGACTGGAAGTCACTTGCACACACAGCTTTAAATGCTCTGATTTTGGAGAGTGACAAGCATATAGATTCAGCAAGACTTGGAAAGACTAGTTAGCTTTAAAGGGACAAGCGTTCAAGACTATTAAAAAGTATAATTTAACTTGAAGAGATACCTTATGACATTTAAAAATAAAGTAGTGAGTGATAAATGAAGAAAATACTACATTCCTTTTGTAGGGAAGTAGCACTATTTTACAGTCAGTCAGGGTGCTGAAGATTGGCTTCCTATGGTGTGGAAGTTAGGAAACTTCCATCTTTCATGTAAAGTCTGTTTTTCTTTTTCTTTTTTTAGGATATTAGATTACTGAAGGGTGAAATGAACATTATGCACCTAGAATCAAGTGAAAAAAATGGCATTACCCAGTATCCCCTAACTGTCCTTGACAGCAGTTTGGATTCAGAGGCTACAAAGCTCTGCATTTCTTTGACTTTTACCCTGGGTTCCAATTGCAGATCAGATTTCACTTCTAAGCTTATTCTCTTCAAACAAATATTTATGATCAACAAATCCACATCTAACCCTGTTTTCTTCTTTTTCCCTGTAAAGACCATAACCACGAGAGGTGATGAGAACTATGGCCAAGACACATCTACCCAAGTATTACTGGGGCCAGAGGACCTCAACACACCACACACAGACCAGGAGAAGGGCACAATGAGAATGCAAAGGCAGAAGGCTGGCTCATTTCAGTGGGCTAAGACTGGATTTTTCTGCCTAAGTTCAATGGACTCTATTGTTCTCAATTACTAGATCACTTGCCTAAAGCCTGTCACTATCAAGGTGAGTTTGAGGACAATCTGAAGCCTCAGAGGGAATAGTGATAAACGCTAATGGTGTCTTGAGTTAGTCTAGTCACTCACTCTTTCCTGTCTCCCTGTCTCATCTGGTTGATATTGATGACAACAAAAGTACAAAACATATAAAACATCTTCAACAAAACAAAACCCTGGCGAGTGATATCTATAAGTATTTCTTATTGTGCATTCAGTTCCATACACTAAGTCTCAAATTTCATGGATACGTCCCCAGTGCCTCTGCAATCGTGGTGACGACCTAAGCTAAACCTGTTATCTTTCTTCTTAGATCTGTCTGCCAGCAGACTACACTCTCTTCCCCTCTTTCTGCAGTCATAAAGCCTCCAAATTCTGGAGTCAGCTAGTCTAGCCGAACTAGTGAGTTTCAGGCTCAGCAAGAGACTCTATTTCAACAGTAAAGCAGAGGGGTGGGGGAGACACCTGGCATTGACCTCTGGCCTGCATAGGTGCATACACAGACTACTGAACCTGCTCTTCTGTGTTCACATAAAGATGCACATACACACAAACATAAATATGCATCAAACTCCTTTGAATGTGAATACCCCTAGTAACAATTTCTTTGTTCTCCAATGATAATGAATTATTGACTTCTGGTTCACTTGGGCCTGGTTAGTAAGGACTAAGAATTATAATTTTTGAAAACGTGCTGGCAGCCTTGCTCCAGATGGGTTTGATGGCCCGGGATGTGTAAAGCCAGTACCATGAGGAAACTGTGACCACGTGTTGTTGAAACAAGTGGCCCTGAATAACCTGGTATATCTTTATTTACACAGTTTCAATGGCTTGCATGAATAGCTTTACAACCAGTTTTGCTTCTTAAATTAAAAAAATGGTTACAATGGTTATCAATTTATTGCTTGCCTCTTTCATCTAAGTCTCCCACCAGCAGCCATTACCTTTTTAACCTGTATCTCTACTGTAAGAAGCATAAGGCAGTCTTTCACGTTACAATGGAACTTTTTTAGCTAGGCATATCTCAGTGGTTACAGATTTATGCAAAGCAAGAGACGGTTTTGCCTCTAATAGTTAATATTTACATCTGTTTGGGTCTGGCTTCTCAGGATCAACTCACCAGCCAAAGTTGGATCAATCTACATTCTACATTTTACATTCTACATTCTGTACTACTCTGTTCTCTCTGGGGACATACCATGTTTTCTCATTTATCCTATAGGCAACATAAGCTGGAAACTTACTCTTAATAGTTGGTACTATTATTCCTTATCTTTACGTCTGTCTCTCTTAACTTCTTGGGGTATTGACACAGTTATTAGAAATGAGAGATTCTTTATCATTCTTCATTTGTTTCATCTTCATTCTCTGTTACTAGACTGTACCCATTAACTCCTGATATCATCTATATAATAATACTTCTTTACAGCTTTTATGGTTAAATTCATTCTTTCCAGAACCGTAATACAAATTTGTAATATTAAATGTCATTGCCTACCGTGGTTCATTCAGGCCAGCAGTATGGCTAACATAGTGGAGGCAAATAGAGCATGTAGCATACACTCTCCCAGGGTCATGCCAAGAATCATGCAGTGAAATGTCCAGAGGTCTTTGCCAAGGGTCAAAGTCTCCACAGTCTTGCCACAAAGAAGAGTCATTCATGATATTCTCAGTCGTTGTTCCCCAAAGAAGTGACATGGATCTTGCCAAAAATGTGCTCTCAATCCTCAGTGAGAGACAGAATAAACTGAGGGTAATGTTTATTGCATCCTTTTTTTATTATCCCTAGAATTTACCAGCATGCTCTCTGGATTCTAGGTGATTTATCAAAAATGCATTGATGATGATGAAAACAGTGCTGGAAATCACACTATGGAGACAGATTGCTTCTTGCTGTGCATGGAGATAATTTAAATTGGTTGCAGCAGGTTTAATTCCACAAATACCACCTACATAAATTTCATACTTCTTCCTTGTCTCTCAGTCAAAGGGGTAAGAAAAAAAAAACAAATCTAAAGGTAATGGAAAAGGACATGTCCCAGTGTCCTCAGGAAGAAGAAAACAAAAATCTATTCATGCTAGTATAGTGAAGCAGAAAAGGAAAATTACACATGCAGACACAGGGAAGCATATTTTGTATTTTGATGGAGAGGGATGTCTCATATTTCATTACCTTTGCTTGGAGTTCGTAAAGAAATTGGAAGCAAAATTGGAACAAACCACATGATATCTTGGGATATGACTAAGAACTCACTTGACATTCAAGCGTATCCAAACATCCTTTGCATTTGACTATTTTAGGAAGAGTGGGCCACCTTAGGAGATGTTTGTGGTGTGATGCTCCTAAAACAAGGGCTCTTTCACACAGTGCTGGGAACATAGGACATGTATTAAAATGAAACAGACAAAAATGCTTTTAAGTCATGCTTATTTTTGATGTAGTAACTTAACATTTGGGAGTCAGTCCTAAGGATGTAATAAGAAATGTACATGAAACAAGTTTATACAAAACATTGGAAATATTGTATATGTCTAAAACTAAGTAGGTTTGATGCACTATGATCAGCTTGTATATTATATATAGGCACCAAATAAAACAATTAGGTATTTGATTATCTGAAAGTGCTTTATGGTAGTATAATACTGGTTTTTAGTATACAAAGTAATTTGTTTCATTAAAACATTTCCACACATGCATATAATATATTTGGATTATGAGTGTTTTCTCTCTTACTGCTTTTAACGCATGTCCTTTTCTTTGAAAAAATTAGTGTACATTGCTCCATTATTCTTAATAAAAAGATAAAAGACATCAAGATTATTAACTCAAATACATTAAAGGAAGTTTCACGCACAACCTTGATTTTCTAACCTAGTCATAGTTTGCCAAGCCTTCTAAAAATAATACATTTTAAGAAACATTAATCCTGATAATAAGTGAATAATTAAGGATTTGTTACCAGAATGAGAAAAAACAACAAGTAATTAGACTCTTTTAAGAAGGAATCTCATTGTGGGGGTGGAAATTAGCATCCTATTTTTTAGGTAATTTGGAAAAATCTTCTGGCATAATCGGTCTCTGCATAATGTAGGCTTGCTCTTTCATGGCCCCTGAAGTCAGGTTGGATCAATCAACAAACATGTTCTGCAAACCTTGGCATTTCTTCCCTTCAATGTCTGAAATTATTTAAGCATCCCATAGGGATTTAACTTTCCGGCATTTCCTGATCAGTAGCTTGTTCCTCAATGAGGAGAGTGTTATCCATTTGGGGTCTGACTTCGGCTTGATATTTACAGACCAAAATGTCATATGTAACAGGAGACCTGCAACCTATTTGAAATTTTCAACAAGCTAGGTTATACTGAGTTTCTGAATGATTTGATTTATCGACACACATGCATAATCCATGCCAGTCTGGAGCTGGGAGGTCTCTTAGGTTATCACAACACCCCAGAGGCTGCCAATCATTGCAGGGATGGACATTTGTGCTTAAGGCGTGGTTCTTCACAAACGCACTATTGGGAGACCCTTCAGGCTGACATATCTCACTTATTTATAAGAAGCATCCTTATTATTAATCAGGAAATGCATCCTCAGCATCTCATAAATGGAAATGTGGTTTGAAATGTAAAGACCCAGATCTGTCGTGTGGTAGAGCACCAGGAACCAAGGCGGCATTTGAGAAGGGAGAGTTTATTTCAGTTCTCCGAGAGGAAGTCCACAATGGTGGCTGAGGCATGGTTACAGGACCGCGGCACCAGAAACTGAGAGGCCGCCTCTGAATCTCGCAAGGTGACACACTTCCTCTAGCCAGGCCACACCTCCTAAAGGTTCCATACCTTCCCAAATAGTGTCACTAAATAGAACTCAAGAGTTCAAACACCGGGGACCCCATGGAGGACACTGCTCACATGAAGCACCACAGAGAGTGCCTGAAGTGGGGAGTTAAAACCGAACTGTCACTCCTCATTAGGAGTCAGTATTTAATTGGCCTCTGAACTAAACTAAACTGGTTTCTCTGGTACTTGCTAAAAGATTAGAACTCAAAGATTAGAACATCAATAAAACTCTGTAACGTGATTGCTAAGGAATGGCCTAAAACATGGTCTGATACCCAGTGACAACGCTGAGAAACAAGAGAAGAACTCTTCCAGGATTAAGGCTGGAAAGTTTTAGGCTAATGGAAAGAGTTAAAGCCACATGGTAAACTGAAAACACAAAGAATTCAGTACAACTGCACAAATTCAGGATGAACACTTTTCAGGGTTAGCCCTTATTGTGTTAATAATGTAGAATATACCCAACAGGCTTAAGGTTAAGCAGGCAGTTCAGATACAGTGACAATGGTCTTACAAAGGGACCGAACAGGACCAGGTGGAGGCAAGAGCAGAACAATGCTCAAGACTTGCTCATAACTGCACTTCTCCAATTTTGGGTCTCAGGATACTTTACATTCTTAAAAATTATTGAAGACCTCAACAAGTATTTTTAATAACAAATTGTATTTATCAATAGCTATAGCAGAAGTAAAATTAGGATATTTAAAATATTTACCACCTTACTTAAATTACATTAGGCCAGGCATCGGTGGCACACGCCTTTAATCCCAGCACTCTGGAGGAAGAGGCAGGTGAATCTCTGTGAGTTCGAGGCCAGCCTGGTCTACAGAATGAGGTCCAGGACAGCCTTCAAAACAATACAGAGAAACCCTGTCTCGAAAAACAAAACAAAATTACATTAAGGTTCTCATTCCCAGTTAGTACACATACTGTAGTTCTACCAATAGTAGTCATTTAAAAAATCAAAAGTATTTAGTCAAGAGAGTGATAATTGTTTTACATTTTTGCATGAGATTCAATGTCTGGCTGAGTGGAACACAGCTGGGTCTTATTTTCTTTATTACATAACATTTATCTCAATATTGGGAGTCATATGACTTGAGGAAATGTCATTTCTCACTCATGAGTATGGTAAAAATCTTTTTCAAATTATTATAACAACAACTTATG